TTCTCAAAAAGGGGAGGTGTTATATCCCCTGGTGAATTATGAATCGTAAATCTGAGGTCTATTATCGACCAATGTATTATGCCTATTTCTTATTGTACAGTTGTTACGTAACTAAACTATTCATATTCGTGTTTCCTCTTATCATTAGCTTTATTTTGATCTTTGATTTATGATCATACGATTCTTGAGTTATAATCAGTTTATTGATTAGTTTGGTTTGTATAAAAACCCAGTGTGTTTGTAAATAATGATTCATATTTCCGAGGCTGTTATTTGTGTTCTGGACTCAACTGGCTGGGCTAGGCAGTTAGGAAGGACCGAATAGCACTCAAGACTGCTCAGGGCATACGTTATAACACTATTCATTATTGCACTCCTCACAAATACACTTAAAAAACCTCTTTCGAGTAAGCTGATCTAATTTCAAGAAAAATGCAAGGATTTTCGGTAACTATTTTATTACTAGTTTCCAAGTGTCACGGAAAGCAAAGGTTTGATAGCCTTATTTAAATCATGAGTTGATTTACTTTGAATATGAAAGTGATTAGCGAAACGTGTTATAAAAGATTTAATATTCAATGTCGTTAGAACAGTTTCAGATGGTCGTGGTAATGATCGTCAAATACGCAGTGAGCATAATAGTAGAGATCTCTATTACCATTCAAAACTATGTACTAGAGAAATATCAACCACGAGAAGCAGAAGAAGCTGTAATCGACTGTTTATTAGAAGACTGTAAAGGTAAAATTTACTGAAGGAAAACATAAATAACGAAGTGTCAAAAATCAAAAATTCTATGTAGTGCCATATTTACCTATTCAACAGCATGTCATTCATACTAAAATGCTGGCATGATTTAGATAATCACCAAGTACTTTATAGATCATTTCAGTAAATTTAATCTCTGCTTGATAAAGCGATTGTTTTGACACATAAAACACGGTTAAGTTCGACTGGATCTACTCAATTGAATATGTTCCATAGGATTACATATCTCTTTGTATCTCTGAATCAGAGATCACACGTGCTTTAGCTGAATGATTATATGCTAACATAAACATGTTCAACTAGATAGTATAATAATGCATGGTTTGTTTTGATAGTTCTGTACATATAAATACTTTTAAATACTTAAGTAACATAGTAAACATATTCTTCTCTGTGTGCCACACTTGAAACTTCACGTGTTGTGAAAAAAGAGACAAGAATACTACTTTCTTACTAAAATGCATGCAGTGAAGATGCAACTGACAATGAAACAGTCATAGAGAACAGGATAAATCAATCGTTGAAACATGGCTTCACTGAAAATGTGTAGTGACAATGATAAACTACCGATAATATATTGTTTGAGAAAATAATACTAAGCAACACTGTACTGAACATACAAAACTAATCTAGAAATTTACATTCAATCAGTTTGATTTAAGTTTTAATTGGAAGAGTAGCTAAAATAGCTCATTGCTGAGTGCAAAAGTATTCGTCCCAATGATATACAAGTACGATTATTTCTCTGTTACTTAAAGAGGGACCCGATATTGTAAGTTAGTCTGAAAATTTTCACATTGTCATATAATTGAAAATACCTCTGTTAACAGATAATCATGGGATTTTTGTTGTAGTTTCTTTCAAATTATTCACACCGTGTTCTCGTTTTGTAAATATCATGACATTTTTAATCCTTATAGCCGTTCTTAACCCAGTATCACCTAACTCATTTTAAGAATCATCAAAACTAATGTTATCTTAATTGTTCTTGATCTATTTAAAATGCATATGAATAAATGTTAGATTAAATGGTCTTATATATCGGTTCATGATTCTAGTGAAACTCATCAATCTCCACAATCGCATACTGAAAATTATCATGTGTTCACTAGTAACTAGCTTAGAAAGAAATTTCTAGAGTTCTGGTGCGAAGCCGTGAACTATGGAGCTAATCTGAGTCGGGTGTGATGCAGTTACTGAAGACGATGGAAGATGGTCGATCAGTGCCGTGAATTAATGGAGGTTAAACATTAACACCGTCAGATTCCGGCTAAGTGGTCTAGAGGTTGGGCTTTCCCAAACAAAACCAAAGGTCCTGGGTTCAGCTCCCGTTAGTGCGACCCTGTGTGCACACTGGTGAGGATTACCATACTAGGATGAGACAGTCTCCCAGTGCTTCTATATTTCTAATGATTGTCCAGCTTTGATCAGTTTGCGACTTCAACGTAACATTGTTTTCAATTGTTTTCTTGTATGATTCACCAAAATACATTACTTTTTATTTCCACTATGATTTGTTTATACTTATAATAATAACTATTTTTATGCATTTATTTCACGTAATTATTACACGTCACAAACGTGGCAAAGTTGTGGAATAAAAAAGCACACAAATCAAATGAATATTCGTCTCTTCTTCAATTCGAAACATTTCAATGATAACTTTTTTCCTCATTTCCAACATGATTCCATATGCTTCATAGTTTCTTATGAATATTTTACCTTTCGACTGGCAGTTTATTTATTTAAACACATAAATATTGGTACAAAGGGGCACTAGATACATATGCGCCACACAAATCTCATTTGATTTGTGTAAGGGCTGTGATACTGTCCGGGTGCCCAAACCGAAGCAAGTGGTTTTCTTAAGGGACCACACCCGGAGCCTTCGACCTAAATATCTGATTCACAAGGCAGTGGTGCATCATAAGGAGATGCAGTCCCATGGTATTCGGTGACCAACGATTGATTCATACGCCGTTTGTTCCCGCAGGATACTGGAGCCCATGTACACCATTGGTTTGAAATCAGGGTTTTCTAACTCCCCTAGGTGCACTTTCCGTATCTACCAACCCGGTTAAAGCATCAATCATTCGACCGGTAGTACTGAAACTACGATGTTAAATTACTATTAATTTTTTAAGTTTTTTTTGAATAGTTAGTGAGATATTGCTAAGTATAAACTGAAAGCATTATGAGTAAATTTCGTGCTCTATATGTTACATTTTTTTCGACCCAATCGATTACCAATTGAATTATTTACGATCAACTATCAAGTTAATATATATTACTGTCATTCTCAGTTGTGGAAAACTGTCAGTGTTATGAATTACAAATGATTAGTATAGTTAAGATTAGGAGAAGTGGTTAAATTGGACACACACACAGAAACGAACTTTGATGTACATATTATATATATACATATATTCTCGTTTGATTTCTACTCGATATATTTTTTTATTTTTATAATATCGAAAAAGAGAATGTCAAAATAAATTAATCATTTATTATTCATTAATTCACTTATTCGTTCAATCATTCAGTAGTATAAGAGTTTATTTCTCTATATTTATAAACTTTTTAACTCGTATTCATAGTTCATTGGTGAGAAGCGGTAGAGATAGGCAGAAATATATAGAACTATAAAAGAGCAGAAAAAAAAACATGAAAGTAAAAGGGGGAAGAAAAGACTAAGTGGGAAAAAGTGATGGAATAGAAAAAAGAAAACAACATCACAAGTCGAAAACAGAAGAAAAAGAAAATAATAGGAGAAAGAGAGAGAGAAAGACAGACAAAAAATATACAGGAGGGTGAAAGCGTTCAACAGGAAAGTGAGAATGATGCATATGAAAGAGAAAACCACACTGTAACTACTAACGATTCAATCTAGTGATAATATTAGAAGAATAAAAGTCGACAAATCCCTGTGTTTATTGGAAAAGAAAAATAGCGATACTAATGAAACAATTATTATTACCATTATTATTATTATTACACTACAGACCTTATGTTTTGTTATACTACGAAAGTGAACATATGTATAAACCAGTAAGTGTAAACTCCTCAGTGTTTAGATGAAGAACTTCCTTTATCTACTGGTTTGTATGTTTGTATATGAATGCTATCATTGTATATGTCTACAAATAATAGATTTGTTTATGTAGAGAATAGATAATGTTATTCCTTGTGTTATTATCAGTCTTATTATTCTTACTACTATGAATAATGTATTAACCTATTCATAGTTTAATTTGCCATTATTCTTGATAGCTTATTAACGAAAACCTAATCTTGATATCGCCTAATAAATCATTCACCGATTATACATTATTATCACAATAATTGATAATATATGAATGAAATTAGTATTAATTGAATTAAGTTTCATTTATCATTAATGGACTACAACATTTTCAATGGCTTCATATCTTCATCAACTAAAGTACCCTTATTTTCTGAAACTAAAATCAGTATAAGTCTTATTATCCTAGAATTCAATGTGGAATAATAAAAATATAGCTTGAAAAGTTGTATGTTACAATATAACATACCTTGAAGTAAACTGTATGATAGTCAAATCTTTACTGTTGGTTTATTAGCATTTAAATAAAGTAGAAGTTCACTTTCTGTCATTATGAATGAAGGAAAACTCACCATATTGACTTCTTGACTATGCGTATGAGTCAAATATCCAGAAAAACTCAAAATGCTTGACTTTTAGTTGTTTTTAGTTTAAGTGTAAGTTAGTTTTGATCCAGTTCTTCAAAGTTATATTCATCTTAAACGCCATTCATTAGCTTTTTTATAAAGTGAAAAATACACTATGCAACACAGTATACTTAGTTCTTATGGTCTAATTTATGAAACTTATGTGATCAAAAGAACATGATTTTGATCTTTTCATCGATAGAGCGTATATTCTGTTAAATAGCTGAAATCTAGACATATAAATCTGGTGTATCTCAGTTATCATCTCTATCAGTTTATTGTAAACAGTGAATCTCAGATTCATCATTTAAATATTAAAATTATTCAGCTGTTGTATTCAATAAAGTTTCAAATTTCATTTATTATGAACCGTAAGCAATCATTTTATTTTTATTTTGAACTTGAGGATTTAAGCCTGTTATTTACTTTCTGAAAAAGTATTATCAAAGTTCATCATACCCAAACAGTAAAATATAATGAATGTATATGGATATCAACATCTTTTAAAAACCAATCACACTTACCTTTTCAATTTCCAGTAGATGAAACCGAAGCACATGAATCGCTTGAATAATCTAAAATAGACAATGATATTAATGTTTTTTTCTTGAAAAGCTAGCTTATTAAATAATTAACAAAGTACTTTATTCCATTTCTTAAAAAAATATTCAAGATTGAGCGAATGGTGTTTCCTATCATTAAATATATAGATTACAAATGATAAAGTAGATGAGCGATTTTGTTTAAAGTTACCAGAAGTTACCAGAAATTCACAAAAACTTATTTAATCAGTTTCAATTTACTAGTATTTTGAAATTATTCAACAAATTACAGTATAGGGTTCTAGAGATTATTTTATTTTTGGTTGAGATTTAAAATGGGTTGATACTAGACCATTATTGGAAACATGGAAGCGCTGAGCAGCCGTTTCGTCACATTTCGAGACTCCTCAGCAGTGCACGTCCACGATCTCACACTCGGGAATAGAACCCAGGGCCTTCGATCTCGCACGCGAACTCCTAACCTTTAGATCATCGATCCGACATCTAACGGTGTTAATGTCTAACCTCAATCAATCCATGAAATTACGCGACCATCTTCCAATGTCTGAGGTAGATATCTGTCTCTATGTGACATGGATTAACTCCATTGGTTACGGCTTCTCACTAGAACTCCGAGAATTCCCTCACGAAGCTAGTCACTAGTGAGTGCACGGCGAAAATGTTGGATCTGTGGTTTATGATCATACTAAAATAAGGAAATTCAAATTTGAATTGAAAACAATTTAAATCTTTGATTATCAAACTACTTACTAAATTAAAAATGCTCTATTTTATCCGGTTTCAGACTAATTGACTGAAGGTACGTACTTATTAATGTTATTATCTTTAATATAAATACCACACCTTGAATAGCATCGTCAACCAATATCAAAAATATAAAAAATATAATAAATACAAATCATAATCGATGTGTGGTGTGGTCTACTTATATCCATATAAGTAGTATATGGTGTGGGTCAGACATAGAATGTATTTTGGCAGAAGACCGATGACGAAAGAACTGGAATGAAGCGCAATCGTCTGGAAAATGCATGAGCAATGGAATTAGAGAAGAAACAGTGAAGATTGAAACAGTTGGTTGTTAATTTGCAAATTGACTGTTCATTGTTTGGTAATCAGAATTTATTGAGATAGTCTGTAATCTTTGCTTAAATACATTCGATTGTCCCCAACTAGTGTTTTGTTCACTACATTTGGTGTCGCTGCCAACCGGGAGGAGGAAGGGTGCTGTTCTGCGGACGCCGCTGCGGGTCTGGAGTTGAAGTGTTAGTTGGGGCAGTCCGGTGCGGAGAGTTGGCGTCGAGTGGAGTGTTCTGGCGGGGCGGCGTTGGCTGTAGCGGGTGCTGTCGACGGAGAGGAGCAGTGGGACGTGCGGCTGCTGGGCGGACATCGGATGTAGATGGCTCAGCAGGCCGGTGGAGTACGGGTGTTGAACGTCCCAGGTGCCGGGTGGATGCGGATGTTGGTGCCCTGGCAGGTCGACGGAGCTATGGAGGTCAGCGCGCCGCAGACTCGACATTCTGACGGAGAGTTTGGCACAGACTGCAGTGAAAGAAGATAGTGGCGTGGCGAGCAGAACCACCGCATGAACGAATGCTTTAAAGGGGGGACGAGTGTGGTGTGGTCTACTTATATCCATATAAGTAGTATATGGTGTGGGTCAGACATAGAATGTATTTTGGCAGAAGACCGATGACGAAAGAACTGGAATGAAGCGCAATCGTCTGGAAAATGCATGAGCAATGGAATTAGAGAAGAAACAGTGAAGATTGAAACAGTTGGTTGTTAATTTGCAAATTGACTGTTCATTGTTTGGTAATCAGAATTTATTGAGATAGTCTGTAATCTTTGCTTAAATACATTCGATTGTCCCCAACTAGTGTTTTGTTCACTACAGATGCATCTTTGGGAAGAAATTCATATGCAAGTAAATACTGAACCATACGATAATGAAAATCACGAATTAGAAAGTATAATTTACAAACACTTTTAGTAGTTATTTGATTTTTACCGGATTATTCCTTTTATTAGTATCATCTACTGAAATATCAAACTCTTGAATCAGTGTAATCTCTAATTGTTTATTGTTTTGTCTATCGATGAAACTCAGTTTCGTTGGGTGACCCAATATTAACATTTACATCATCAGTTCATAAATACTTTTGGCCTTTAATCAATATTGCATAAATACGACAGGTGATTTTAATGTCAGGAAGTCTAGAAATTGATTAAGAAATAAGATTTTACTGAGACTACACATGAAGTAGTCATTTACGAATTGAGTGTTGAACTCAACTTCTGAAAGCTCACTGACATTTTTTATCATTCCATTCATTATTGTTCAGTTATTTTCCAGTCTTCGGATACTGTGTTATATTTTTAAGAGCATGAAATAATAAGTCATAGGAATTCCTTAATCTAAATCCATTGATAACAAAGATTTAGAAGTCATTGTAGCCAATGACCGCAGAGTCATAGGAAACTCTTCGGTGGTTTTTATAGACTTTACTATACTTTTACCTAAATTCATCAGTTTTATGTAGAATTCGTTTGTTACCGTTTACGATGACGTATCGATAAACAACATCCAATGGCTCAAACAAAATTTTAATGTAAAAAATGAGTCTCTGTATAGTAAAGTTTTAATGGTTAATTTGATAATTCATCGATAAATCCACAGTGTTTAGGATTTTTACTTCTAATTATAAACTAGCATAATGCTCTTAAATTTTTAGTGAATTACCAAACAATATCGAATTGTGTTCAGTTATTTGTTGTTACTGAGTATTTTCCAAACCGATTTCATTCTATAATAACGAATATTTTGAAACTGATCAATTAGTATAAACTGCTGATTTAACGAAGACTTTTTGAAATTTACTGAAGTCATCTTAAATACCAACTGGCTTGATCAGCTAGTTGTTACGTTTAGATGAATGAATTTGTAAGCAAAAGTTGGAGAAACGTTTTATAACTGTGCAAGAATGAGGATAATTACTAATTACTCGTATATTGTTCATAGATTGTAATGCATCTCAGAGTTGTTGGTTTTTAACCTACTGCTTACTTCATGTGACTCCACATAACATTTAAACACTCCTGAAAAAATCTAAAAAAGTGATAACTAAACACATCTAAGGTACTCTTTCTTTGAGCTCTCACATTTGTAATATATTTACATCTGGTATCAGCCATTTCAAAGGTGCTGTTTCCAACCATTAATCTCATGACTGATTGCTCCTTTTTTGTAGTTTCAGTTCGTGACGCACACTGTTAAATATTTTACTTTTGTTTTGTTTTTATTATTATGAGCTTCATATCATCACAAACCACCAAACAAAAAGAATGTTATAACTTCATTAACTATTATGAACTGACTGGATCACATTCACTTGGTATTGTTTGTTTGAATCTTCCCACTGATGCTTAGGACTGCAACTGGTCAGTTTCTAATTGACATATGTGCTTGTGAATTAAGGCAATAACAAGGCAATACGCACAGTATGCACATATGCCAATTAGAGACTGACCATTTGCAGTCTTAAACATCAATAGGAAGATTCAAACAAACAATACTAAGTGAATTTAAACTTCACCCCATTGAATACGCAAGTGGCTATCAGGACTCAGTGGCCGAGTGGATAATGCGTTGGCGTTTGAAGCGAAAAGGTACTGAGTTCGAGTCACAGAGTGAACATCGACTCTGAAATGCGGGTACATCCAGCTGACGAGTCCCAAATAGGAAGAAACACGCATCCTAGATTCCACTGCTAGCCACTATCCATCTTTGCTTATAACTGGATCACAGCTACTAAAAAGCTGTTTAATAGTCAAACAAAATAGTTTCATTGTTAAAATTTTCAATTTGTTTAAAAAAATCAATTTATTGAATCTGCTAAAACTTGAAAATCTTTTACTACTATGCAATCTTGGATAAGGACAGTAGTTATTTACTGAACCTTACATCTTCATTTTGTTGCACATAATGTCCATTCACAAACACTAAACATGTACATACGTATCAGTAGATTAAAAAAAAACAATCTTATCTAACTCATTAACAAATAAAAAAGTAAATAGCAGTTAGTTTATACATAAAAACTGAGAAAATAACATAACTTTATTTTTTTTAGAAAGACAAGTATACAAATAAACTTAAACAGAAAACAAGAGACAATCGATGATAGAATGAATAATCATTTGAGAAAAAAAGAATAACCTAAAAAAAAAGAAGGAAAATAAACAAACAACTAAAATGTTATTTTTGAAAATAAACACTTACTAATAAATTTAACTCCTGTTCAGAAGTAAACATTGATCGATTTGAAGAAGCCATCTGTTCAGAATAATGAAGATGATGAGAAAAATGAAGGTTGAATCCAGGAGAATTGTGGTAAATGGTGCAGTGATGAAAAGTGTAAAATGTAAAAAAAGGAACACAGTTATTTTTTTAAGATTAATTTCAAAAATCATTTGAACTAAACTAAATAAAACAATTCCTAGAAATGATTTTCATAGAAAAAGCCGAACGAATTTGAGTCCTGGATTTCTACTGTTCTCACTTTTTCTCTCTGCCTTCCAAAGCGAAGTAGAGTCTCCATGTATTTACCAATTCACTTTCAAATAACAGGCAACAATTTTAACATGTGCTTTACAAATTTCACTATGGGCAATCGGAAAATAGTAGTAGTTCTCACAAACCCAAATCATGACTGAAATCGGAATACTTAAAACTGTACTTGATAAATGATTTATATTCAAATATGTTCATAATTTCGATATGACAATAAAGCTTTAAGAGACAACGAAGCAAAAGTTAATGGGGTCAATTTTCAGTCTGTTTGAGCATCCTAAAGTTGACAGGACCCAATAAAAAATGGATTTTAGAAAAAATCATAAATTGACACTATATAAACAATCATTAAATCTTTGTTAACAGGTCAATAAATAAAAGGAGATTAATGAAATAACTCTCTAGATTGTCAAATATGACCGTAAATAGCTCATTTTTGTGCTTTACTAATTTTTGTTCATAACTGTGGTATACAAGTAAGAATATTTTCTTGAAATACTAAAAGTACTAAAAGTCTGAGGTACTATGTTCATGATGTTACTTGAATAATATTACAGGGGAAAAAATGCAATACTCACTTATCTTAGTATACATAGTTGTTTTTCATTAAGAATAATTCGGTGATAAAATTCACATCTCATACTAAAGAGGATAATACCTATCCTCTCTGAAGTCCTCATACATGAAATAAATATTTTATTTTTAAGTTTTATTTAAGATTTGAATTTGGGAACTTTACGTTGAGATCACGGAACAACTTACATTACATGATAATACAACACTTAATCTATAAAAATTTCCGATCTACATCGAATGCAATAATTAAATAACCGGTTAGTAACCATATCACAGTTTTTCTTCATGAACAGAATTTACAATATGACAGTCTGTATTTTCTGACTTTCTATAACATATTCAATTACTAAATTTTCGTAATATTTGTAAAATCTTGACATATCAACAAGCATAATGAAGAAAATGCTTCACACATAATCTACAATTACAATTCACTTAGTCAAGTAAATTCATAATGGGTGATGAAACACGTTAATTTCCTTCTTTTATAATATATTTTTATATAAATAAAAACTTTCTGTTTCTTTTATGGTTTATTAAAATTATTTTCCTCTTAATTTCATCAAGATATCCTAAAAGAAACTCGTAATTTAGAAAAAAAACTCATTTAATCAATGGAGTAAGTTACACATCGAGTCATAATAATTTAGATAGTTCAATCTAATAAATACAAATTTCACAGCTCAATTCATAAGTCGATCTAAGCTAGACCATAATTGAAAACCTGGAAGCATTAGACATCCGTCCCGTCCTATTATGGGACTCCTCAATGGCACTGACTCAGTGGTCTAGAGGTTAAGCATTAGCGCGCGAGTCTTGCGTGTAGGATCGTGGATATGCACTGTTAAAATACTACAGTTTCCACAAATCTGCATACTGAAAATACAACTTTGTTGATATTTATGAAAAAACATTGCTACTTTTGAATACTCTAGTTTAGTAGTAATTTGAAAATGAGGAAATCAATCATACTGAATTTAAGTGAAGATCTGTGCAAATTTCTGGAGCACCTATTATCCATTTGTGCATAAAATATTGCAATATTTTTTTATTGTTTTAACTAACCGATTATAAATGTTAAAAACGTACTCATACGCTTTAATAAAAATTAATTTCACAAATTTTAAGTAATTCATAAATTAATAATACATTATTTACAAGTAGACATTCCTATAAATTGTTGCAGTTTAAAGAACTTTTAAGCGAGAAAAACAATTAGGAATCCCGCGTGCGGGATCGTGGATGCTTACTGCTGAGGAGTCCCATACTGGGAAGAAACGAGCGTCCAGGGCTTCTAGGTTTTCAATAGTGGTATAACATTTATAACTGTTCAAAAAATTTTCTAGAGACCGAGAAACTTAAAAAACTACTTTTATGTGATTAAAGTTGATGAAATAGTCATAAATAAGTTTGGAAACTATATAATCATATTTTCTTCAACCTTACTGATATATCAACCCTATTACCAATTTGTTAAGAACTTCTGGAGTCCCACAATCTATTATAAGCCTATGAATACTCTCTGTTTTCTTCAAATAGGGTAATTGCACATACAAACAATCTTTCTTACTTCTACCTTCTGGAACCAGTCTTGGTTCGTCTGTAAAAAATTATCAAAATCTAGAAATCAGTCGAAACATCAGAACATTGAGTGTTTATTGTACCAGGTATGATAAACTTTTTATTTGATTTTGCAGAACTATTCACTTTTCATAATTCAACTGATATTGTGGTGTAGGTTACGTATGTCGACAGACATAAGTAGTATGTAACACCAATCACAAGTTGAATGTCTGTCAAATTAAGGTTGAGAAGATCGAGTTGAAGAGGTTAGAAGGAAAAATAGAAAGGAATCGAGGATTGGAAGAACTATGAAGGATGTGAAGGAAAATTGATGGACGATTTGCAAATGAAGTATTTAATGTACGGTTTTTACATTTTAATAAAGAACTCTGTAATTTTACATCTGATGATAAATTGCTTATCCTCACTAAATCTTCATTCACTTCAATACTAGCTACTTTTAGATCTTGCGATGAATAATTTGATTTTTGTTTGAACTGAAATCAAACGAAATTCAATATTAATTTGATATTTTAATTAAACATTATAATTCTTATTTAGTAATTATTGAATTCATTATTTAATTGAACAGGAATTCGGCTGTAGAACAAAGCTCTTTGTCGACTTAGGATCGTAAAGATTTTTTGAGTTTTGATTGAGATCCTGTATGAATAAATGTTGGGCCATATACCTCCATTGGGATAATAATCATTATGGGATAATAAGTGATATTTTTCAAGATGGATTTCCTGGAGCTTTAATGAAAAGTAACCACTGGAGTCCAATCCATGTCGGGTGTGCGGCAGATACTCACTGAAGACAATGAAGGACGGTCGCGCAATACCGTGGGTTAGCTGAAGTTAAATGGATGCTGGCTCAGTGGTATAGAGGTTAAGCAATGACGCGTAAGACCGAAGGTATTGAGTTCGAGTTGTGCGTGTGGGATCGTGGATGCATGCTGCTGAGGAGTCTTATACTAGGATGAAACAGTCGTCCAGTGCTTCCATATTTTCACTGGTGATCTAACGTTAATCTTTTTTGACTATAATCTTGGAAAATAAATTCTTTTATTCTTAAATCATTTTAGTTTATTTACAGTTTAATTATTTCTCTTAATTATATAAAAATGAAAACTATTATTATTTTGTAAAATTTCAGTGAGAAAAATCACACTACATAAGAAAATTTAGATGTAAAAACAAGAAAGTTAATGACTTTAAATTTATTGACTTTCAACCAATAATTAAAATTAGATTTTGGTTTGATATTTTCCAAAAAAAGGGAAATTTTCTAAGAATAAAAATAAACAAGAGAAACGAACAAACCAATAACAACAATATCTGTGATAAATCTTTGATTGTGTCATAATGATCTGATACGAGTAAATCAGATGTGGAAAGATTAAAACCGAGAATTTGAAGATGGTTATACACTTGAATATGCATTTTACGCATGTATGTATGTATGTGTATGTGCTCGCACGATGCATGCATAGGGGCACACAAAGTATATGCGTAAAATTCGTAACAGAAAATATATCCCAAGAAAATAAACACAAAGACGAAGCAAACAAGAATATGAGGTATACTTTAAGACCATTTGAAAATAAAGATTAGAACTATGATTAAATAAAAACTATAACGAAATTGGGGAAGGTACTCCCGATCTATCTCTGTAATACATACATTATTTGTACAGATATTCATTTGCTAAATTCAATAGCCAATCAAAACATTCATACATATGAAGTTGTAAATTTGATGTTATTCATAATGATAATGAAATAATAAAATCTTAGTTAAGAAAAACAAAAATGGAATGATTCTTTACTTAAAAATTGAATTCAAAAACAATGAAATCTATTTTATGTTTGAAACTGCAAAAACAAGATTTGTTTATTGTTCCGAATCTTTTCTCTAAATCTCTGTATTCTAAAAATAGATGATGTCATTGATATAATCAATGGTAGTTGTTTTTACTCAACTTGTCCTTTAAACCATCTCTTCTAGCCCTATTTATTAAAGATAAGAAAAAGTAATATAAGAGAATATATCGTAGATAATAATTAGAATTGTGTCCAGGGTTATCTTCATTAATTTATTCTTTGCTGATTAATGAATGTGTCTTTTACCCTATTTCAACTTATTGAACAGATTTTATGTTCATCGGTTGATAAGTTTTATTTGTAAACTGGTTTCTGATTAAAAGGGGAAGAATAAAGTGACTTAATCTATGATCTGTTCTTTTTTTCCAAAATAACTTTAAAAAAATGAAAATAGCGTATCAACAGCATCAGCTGTAGTAAGAGTGAGAAAAAGCGAATCCTAGTTGATTATGAAATAACAAGTTGAAGATGAATTTTAAAATTTCGTCTATAAAAAGTGAAAGCAGTTTAGTTCAACTAAGATATACAACAGATAATATTTTTAACTTAAAGTACGTTTTCTTCCCCCCCTCCTCCATCTCTCATTTTTTGTTTACAATAAGTTTGTTTTTCTAGAAACAGACACGATTGATTTATCTCGTTTCTTTCACTCTTTTTTATCTTTTATCACTAGAACTAAATTTTGTCTCTGTTGATAAGTGATTTTATCAATTGTCTAGAAAAGACCTCAATCATTACA